CCCACTATACCACAAACATCAGTTTAGGCTAGTCTCCACCGGATTTCTTCATTCCCACTATACCACAAACATCAGTTTAGGCTTGTCTCCACCGGATTTCTTCATTCCCACTATACCACAAACATCAGTTTAGGCTTGTCTCCATCGGATTTCTTCATTCCCACTATACCACAAACATCAGTTTAGGCTAGTCTCCACCGGATTTCTTCATTCCCACTATACCACAAACATCAGTTTAGGCTAGTCTCCACCGGATTTCTTCAATTGCCACTATGCCACAAACATCAGTTTAGGCTTGTCTCCACCGGATTTCTTCATTCCCACTATACCACAAACATCAGTTTAGGCTTGTCTCCACCGGATTTCTTCATTCCCACTATACCACAAACATCAGTTTAGGCTTGTCTCCACCGGATTTCTTCATTCCCACTATACCACAAACATCAGTTTAGGCTTGTCTCCACCGGATTTCTTCATTCCCACTATGCCACAAACATCAGTTTAGGCTTGTCTCCACCGGATTTCTTCATTCCCACTATACCACAAACATCAGTTTAGGCTTGTCTCCACCGGATTTCTTCATTCCCACTATGCCACAAACATCAGTTTAGGCTTGTCTCCACCGGATTTCTTCATTCCCACTATACCACAAACATCAGTTTAGGCTTGTCTCCACCGGATTTCTTCATTCCCACTATACCACAAACATCAGTTTAGGCTTGTCTCCACCGGATTTCTTCATTCCCACTATGCCACAAACATCAGTTTAGGCTTGTCTCCATCGGATTTCTTCATTCCCACTATACCACAAACATCAGTTTAGGCTAGTCTCCACCGGATTTCTTCATTCCCACTATGCCACAAACATCAGTTTAGGCTTGTCTCCACCGGATTTCTTCATTCCCACTATACCACAAACATCAGTTTAGGCTAGTCTCCACCGGATTTCTTCATTCCCACTATACCACAAACATCAGTTTAGGCTTGTCTCCACCGGATTTCTTCATTCCCACTATACCACAAACATCAGTTTAGGCTTGTCTCCACCGGATTTCTTCATTCCCACTATACCACAAACATCAGTTCAGGTTTACTTTTAGATAATCCCATTCAGGATAAGGTGTGAAGGGTTTCCGCTATAGAGATCATATAATTTAAAATTAGTTCTGGAAATTTATACGAAAAGTGAGTAATGAAACCTAAAATATTTTTATTAACGTAAATTCTTGCAACTTACCTTTTCGACAGCATCTAGATGGAGTTTTTTAACATTCCATTTGTATGTTTCACTTGGTTCCTTATAATGCCTGTTATATTTTGAAACGGACAGAAAAAAAAAAGAAAGAAAATTCAAGGCGATTTCTAAATATACATGGCATTCCATTGCTTTTCCAGTGAAGCTCTGTAGAGAAATAAGACGACTTTGTCTGTTTGAGTGTGTGTTAGGGTGTTACACACACACACACACACACACACACACACACACACACACACACACACAGATATACACGGACAATCACACACACACACACATACACACAGATATACACGGACAATCACACACACACATACACACAGATATACACGGACAATCACACACACACACATACACACAGATATACACGGACAATCTCAAACACAGATATACACGGACAATCACACACACACACACATACACACAGATATACACGGACAATCACACACACACACATACACACAGATATACACGGACAATCACACACACACACACATACACACAGATATACACGGACAATCACACACACAAAAACACACACACACACACACACACACACACAACACACAATCACACACACACACACACACATATACACGGACAATCACACACACACACACACACACACACACACACACACACACACACACACACACACACACACACACACACACACACAAACACACACACACACACACACACACACACAAAAACACACACACACACACACACACACACACACATACACGGACAATCACACACACACACATACACACAGATATACACGGACAATCTCAAACACAGATATACACGGACAATCTCACATATATACACAAATTTAGAGGGACAATCTCACACATACAAACAGATATACACGGACAATCACACACATACAAACAGATATACACGGACAATCTCAAACACAGATATACACGGACAATCTCACACATACAAACAGATATACACGGACAATCTCCCCCATACAAACAGATATACACGGACAATCTCACACATACAAACAGATATACACGGACAATCTCACACATACAAACAGATATACACGGACAATCTCACACATACAGATATACACGGACAATCTCACACATACAAACAGATATACACGGACAATCTCACACATACAAACAGATATACACGGACAATCTCACACATACAAACAGATATACACGGACAATCTCACACATACAAACAGATATACACGGACAATCTCACACAAACAGATATACACGGACAATCTCACACATACAAACAGATATACACGGACAATCTCACACATACAAACAGATATACACATACAAACAGATATACACGGACAATCTCACACATACAAACAGATATACACGGACAATCTCACACATACAAACAGATATACACGGACAATCTCACACATACAAACAGATATACACGGACAATCTCCCCCATACAAACAGATATACACGGACAATCTCACACATACAAACAGATATACACGGACAATCTCACACATACAAACAGATATACACGGACAATATCCCCCATACAAACAGATATACACGGACAATCTCACAAATTACAAACAGATATACACGGACAATCTCACACATACAAACAGATATACACGGGCAATCTCACACATAGGCCTACAAACAGATATACACGGACAATCTCACACATACAAACAGATATACACGGACAATCTCACACATACAGATATACACGGACAATCTCACACATACAAACAGATATACACGGACAATCTCCCCCATACAAACAGATATACACGGACAATCTCACAGATACAGATATACACGGACAATCTCACACATACAAACAGATATACATGGACAATATCACACATACAAACAGATATACACGGACAATCTCACACATACAAACAGATATACACGGACAATCTCACACATACAAACAGATATACACGGACAATCTCACACATACAAACAGATATACACGGACAATCTCACACATACAAACAGATATACATGGACAATCTCACACATACAAACAGATATACACGGACAATCTCACACATACAAACAGATATACACGGACAATCTCACACATACAAACAGATATACACGGACAATCTCACACATACAAACAGATATACATGGACAATCTCACACATACAAACAGATATACACGGACAATCTCACACATACAAACAGATATACACGGACAATCTCACACATACAAACAGATATACATGGACAATCTCACACATACAAACAGATATACATGGACAATCTCACACATACAAACAGATATACACGGACGATCTCACACATACACATGTTCACATAGTAATTTGTTAAGCGATATACAGTTATACATAAATCACATTTCAATAACACATTAACACATTACTTGCATGTTCATCTCATTCCAAGAGTTTAAGATTAATTTCACCACTTTAGGCACATAACGATATGATACAGATATACTTCCGTTCAGCAAGAAATGATATATGTACATGGAACCGAGAAAACGCAGTGTAAATAGTGAAGCACAAAACTATCACAGACAATGCTGATGTACCTTTACTACGTAAGTGTCGAAATTCTGGCCGGTCAGCAGTGATCCTGCCAGATTGATCAGTTCAGCGGTTTGTAGAATCTTTTATCTCGGCTTACGAATACATATAAGTCTACGGTCGGTTTTACAATCAGAATTTTTATTTAATTTAGAATCATCGTAAACTTGATGCTGTGAATGCAGAGAATACGAACATACACTGTAGATTAGTTTATACAACGTTTCTATTTATTCTTATTTAACTGTTTATTAAGTTTTATGAACATGATAAATCACGTTAAGGACAAATTGTGTGCTGATTTGAATCTTTTCAATCCAAATTGAACGAAATTCCTACATGCGTTTTGTATATATCTACAAGTTCTTTGTTTTATTTTCATTTGTGTATGTTGTATCTGCATTACTTACTAGAGATAACAATGTTTTGATCAGAAGCGTTCATATATCAATTCAATGAAATTTTGCATCAACACGAAAAATGGCTTAGTCCCTGAACATTTCCATGTGAAATTCATTTCAAGATAATCATTCATAAAAAAAAATTCTATTGAAAATGGCTCATCCCGAATACATAGTACATTTTTGGTATGAAATATTATTCAACATTAACTTAAAAAGAAAGAAATAATACACATAATTTTTAAATGAGGAACTTTTGCTGGTATTGCGGAATGCTTTAATGTTTGTAGGGGTTACCTCCCCTGATGATATAAAAAATCGTATATATTTCATGGATAAACTCGTTTTTTTTTTCAAGGATAACTTTAAATTCGTTTTATTTTTGGGATTAAGTTCTGTTGTGGCCTATATATCGTGTATGAATGAAATTGATGTCGTGATCCCGAATAAAGCTCGTTTCACTTAAAAGGATCATTCTGTAATTTATATAAACGCTTTGCCTGGCAACTCACAATTTACAAATGGCTGATTTCCTGTTCCTGGAGATATGTTTTCATTTGAGAGATACATGCACGTATAGCATCAATATGTAGATTGCCAAGTGACTACCGCTTGGTGTTCCGTATTACCTGAGCAGATTCTAAATTCTTTGTGTTTTCTACGTTATAAAACCAAGTCCTTGTGCCGATTTAAGGGAAAACGGGCACCTGTTGGTTTGAGTTTCGATTTTGTTGTTATTTTCACTGCAGGATATCTGGAAAATCTGATGATTTTTTAAGCTTAACCTTTAACCACAATGTCGACAGTGGCCACTACACCAACTGTGACGTCAGGGACGGGAAAATATGACGTCAAATCTCCAGACCAATTCAAGTCAAAGTCGCCTGATAAGCAGGAGAGGTAGGCTTTGACAAATGTTGCTGTACATGTGCTGGACTTGTCCCAAACTATGTATAATAATGATAACTATGTATGTTTTCTAATGAATCAATGAATGATGGAATCCATAGCATCTGGCCTAAACATACACCAGGCCTGAAATATTCTAGTCAAATTGCTGAAACGAAATCCCCCCTAGCCATATTGATAATGTAACCTAAGATAAGAGTTTCCTTTTGACACTACACACTTTAGGACAAAGGTCAGTAGTGTCCATGTCTGATAGACTATAAATCTCAAATATCTATCGTAAGAACCGGAGAAAATTGGGCATGACTTGATAGAAAATGTCAACCAAAATTATATAAGATAAAAATACAATGGAAAAGATGTATGTTAATGGATTCATTAAAGTAGCAATTTGGACGTAGGATTGAATAATTGATTTAATATCCAAATTGATTCTGAATAATTATATAGTTATAGAACTTGCAGTTATGTAGTACTGTGGTAGTCAGTTTCTGTCACCTGATTACCTGTTTTTAATTTCCGTTGTGATAACTCCGGTAAATGCTACAGGAAGCCTCAATCTTCTCTTAAGCTTGATCGGCTGAGCATAAGTATAAAACTGTAAATCTTAAACCCTTTTGAGGAGTGCAGGAAGCAATTTCATTTTCAACAACATTTCATGACTAGATGTTAATTGTAAGCCAGACTACCTTTTAACCTTTCATGAAGATTATAGTGAGCGTATAGAATAACAATTTAAGGAAGAGAGAGCATACAAGTGTCTGATTACAAACAATAATTTTAGCCATATTTAACCTATGAGGGTGTTTATAATTATCAAATATCAATGATTATTGGGATTGAAACTGCAGAATTTCCAGCAAGGGCTCCACCTCTTATGTTGGAGCCTTTAGACCAAAACGTCAACCACTGGAAAGCATTATGACAACTACATCTTCAAAGGGGTGAGACAAAATGATAACTTGGGTGATGCAGATGTACACTGTACAGATGTGATTGAATGTGTGTTTTACTTTTAGGTACAGGTTTGTAACAGTGGTGTAAGGGGTGGTTATAGGGTAAGGTGATGAATGGTTTCGGGACATTAACCAATTTGTGTGTAATTTGATTGACATTTAAAGTATGCAGTCTGTATAATGTTAATATATATCCCTCCCTTATCTGGAAAGAGATTCCTCTATTTTCACTACAAAGTAAAGAGTGACTTTATCTTAGTAAGGTTGGAAATCTCCAGTGTATTTTTTTGGTACTAAAACAAAGAGGAAATTTCTGAATGGAAACATATTATTTAAGCTGAGATGATAATTACAGTACATGAGGTTGAAAAAGATGTTTTTAACACTAACACAATTGAACTTATGTCAAACAACCAATAAATCCAGTTAAACGTGAACTGACTTTCAAGCTGAATATCTCCACTTTTTCAAAGTTTGATCATATTTGTCGTTATATTGTAAAGTTTGTAAAAACTGAATTGATTCTATGTGTGTTGCTTGTAAACATTACAAAATTATTTTTTTGGTGACGGTCAAAACTTGTACTTGTTTTTTGTTTGTTAAAAAAAATCTATTACTAAAACATTGAAATACATTGTAAAATATGACAGTATTTGAGATGTACCCTCGGGGGAGTATTTTTTTTCTAAATGTTGAAACACAGATCCAGACATTAAACCTTATTTTTGCGAGACACCTTTTAAAACTGCTTTGAAAAAAAAAATTTGGTGACAACTACAGAGGCTTACTTTTGAAGAACACTGGAAGTTGTGTTGTTGTGTATTACTACCTGCTTTTAATACTACATACATACAGACTGTATTTCATATTTTACAATGTTTTGATTTCTTTTTTATCAGAAAACCACTGACAGACAAATTGGAGAACAGGTTAACTATGAAGGACCTCAACAAGTTACAGCGAGCTTTTATGGTATGATTCCAGTGGTTTTCCTGTCTCTATATATTTGGATCCAATAAGATAGGCCCTGTTCCTAACTGTGTATGCTTGTTTTTTAACTGTTGAAGTCATCCTAATTCTGAAAATCTTTTCATGTTGTAGTTTTTATTTGTGAACCTGAGATCTAGCAGACATCCATATCTTTTGTCTCATTTCCCAAGTTTCCTATTTTCTTTGATGGCTCAGATACCAGGAAATCAGATTTGGATTTTAATTCCAGAGAGCCATGAAATACGAGCCTGACAAAATTAATGAATTTTGTAATCTGAGCTTATATGATAGACAGAATCTTATGTGAGTTTCCATTAATGTGAGAATTATAGATAGTGTTTCATTCACTTGCCTGTAGATCAAAAATTCTAAATGAAATATAAACTCATGTGTGAATCAGTTAACCATGATTTCCTGTGTGTAAGGAGAATCTCCTATTGTTGCTCTGTGAAAGCTCTCATACTTGCCTTATTTATCAATATCCTACCATTTGTAAGTCGATTTTGCCCAATCAGTAAACAATTAGCTCCATGTTCTGTTTTTTGGTCTATATATATATATATATATATATGAAGTAATAGCACCAGTATATATATATATATATATTTAACCTCAAACTTAGCACAATATGCATTTGATGTTCTTTGGGAAACAGTTTGTCAGGTAGCCTGCTCACAGAAGACATTATATGTTTCTAAATCTTATAACCTGTGGGCATTACACAGAAAATTAGGGTTTCATTTGAATATATTTGTATATATGTAAATATATAAAATCTTTGAAGTAACATCAATGGTATGGTTTAATATTAGTACTGGATTTTAACAGACAAATGTTTGTTAATATAATATATACGATCAATGAAATAATAACGATCGTACACACAAATAAATTGTCAAATTTTCGAGGCAATCTGCCAAGGGACAGAGTATATATATATATATTGTCCATACTGGTGTTATTACTTCATATATATATATATATATATAAAGTAATAGCACCAGTATATATATATATATATATATATATGAAGTAATAGCACCAGTATGGACAAGCGAAATGTCAAATTATGGGGCAACCTGCTCCTTTATGAAGACACAAATATTACATAAATTACATCACATACATAGAACATAAGACAAGCACAAAGTTATAAATCTAATATCGAAAGCTGTAGTATAAATTTAGGTGTCTCGATAATCCCTTCGGCCGATATTGATATCAAATATCAATCAAAATCAAACATATATATATAGGTATATATATATGTATTTGTAATAGAATGACAATGAATACATAGAATTGATTACATTGATAGGCATTTCAGAGAAGGTTATCAATGAAAGGGTGAAATAAGATCAATATACAACACATGTGAATTATCACTGAAAATATTGAACATTTTTATAATAATATTGAATTGTCATGTTCATATAAAGAAGTTAAGAAGTTGTTATTGTGTCTTGTTACAGTGATCATTATAACATCTAAATGGATTTTTCTGCTTTAAGCTTTGACCTTATTTAACTAATTTTTTCATCCAACTGTTCTCCAGTAAGGAAAAAAAAATTAAAATATCTGTATGATTTTATAGGCAGCTCGATCCTTACAGGCATAAAAAGAAAATCAAGATTTTGATGATATATAAGAGTTTTGGTTTTGGATATTATACCTAACACATTTTCCAAATCTAAAGCATCTCCCTTGAATTGCCATTTTCTGATTACAAACTCTTATAAATATGATATGCTTCCTATGAAGAATGTTCACAATTTTAACATAGGATCCTGTTACTGACCTTGTTTATTTTCAGACTGAAGGCGATGGGTATGACAACAAACTTGCTCTGTACCGGGACCAGTTCTGTGAGGCATTGTCTATTCTGCTGGAGAAAGGAACCCGAGAAGAGGTATACAATTTCATTATAAACACTGCAGAGCGTGAATGTTTCACTTCCCATCAGGATTCGTACTTTCTGGTATTATGACACATGAAAGTTATTAGATCACCAGTTTGATAGTTTTATCCTCTGTAACAAACAAGAATTGGAAAGGGGAAGAAAAAAGGGGCAGGTGAAGGAAGCCATCTAGATTGTAATAGTTATGTTCTAAACAAGGATGAGGGGGTCCATCATTAATTTTCTTGTGCGTCTTTGACCAGATTTTAAACAAAGCATACCTGCATCATCTTTCAGGAGAGCACATTACTACCATCTAATGTATGACTGGAAGATCACAAATCTGACCTGTTTGCTATACAGTATAATCACCATCTCATCACTTTTCATCACAGTCAAAAAATCATTAGAAGTTATTACCACCTAGTACACTATACTGGTCATTTGTGTAATGAAGTGGTACCTCTTGTTTATCTTTTAGTATACATGTATGTAGAATAATCGTTCTTGAATTAATTTTACATCCTAAACAAAAATCAAAATCTTCAACCAATTTTAAGTGAAATTCTTTATGGTGATGTTGACCTGAAGAAGTTTGCCAGGTAGAAAATCTGTTAGACATGATATATAGTAAAACTACATGAATCCTGTCTGTTGAGATTCTACTGGACGTATATCATTTGTTGTAAAATTGTTGTAATTTCATGAAATCTCTTTATAAAATATGATATCTGTATCTCTTTGATTTTCCTGATTATGTTAACATCTTCTTGGGAAAACTTTTGTACTTTACTGTATTTTGAAATCTGTAGTATGGAGAACTATTTGACAAGATTGACGTCGCACGGGAGGGGAGTGTCGACTGGGACAAGTTTGCTTCACATATGCTGCTGGAGTTTTACGAAAAAGATGATCGTGTGAAGTCTACACAGGTCCCCCAATGGAAAGATTTGAAGCCCTTACCAAGGTTAATGCAGATACACTTTCCCGCTTTAAACTGCATGTGGCTTGTTTATTGGATATTACCAGCTACTACTTAAAGAAATAATACATACACAGCAATACAAACAAATAATTGATTTGTTTTCTTTTTTGTGTGTTTTAATTTTTGTGTGTTTTATTTTTCATGTGGTCTGTTCAGAAATATTGGTGCTAATCAATCATCCAATAGTTTGTGTGGTATACTGCTAGTGGTACTTGTTTAAACTGTACACAGGAAACAAACACATTTTTGATCAACAGTGTGCCACACTATCAATCATGGTGGTCATTCTACATTAGATGTATATTAAGTGGGTCTGTCATTGATTAATATTGCTGGAATGTTAAGATATCAGATCATTGGACAAATCTAACCCCCCCCCCCCTCCCCAACCCACACACACAGAATGATGTGACTGTATATCAAACAATTTTGTGGTGTTGCAGTCCTCACAAAGACGTCATACAGAAGGTGGTCTTCCTGAAAAACACAAACAAATATATAGCAGTCAGTAAGGTAAGTATAGATACAACTATCAAAGATTTGTGTGTAGACCAGTCAGTAAGTATAGATACAACTATCAAAGATTTGTGTGTAGACCAGTCAGTAAGTATAGATACAACTATCAAAGATCTGTGTGTAGACCAGTCAGTAAGTATAGATACAACTATCAAAGATTTGTGTGTAGACCAGTCAGTAAGTATAGATACAACTATCAAAGATCTGTGTGTAGACCAGTCAGTAAGTATAGATACAACTATCAAAGATTTGTGTGTAGACCAGTCAGTAAGTATAGATACAACTATCAAAGATCTGTGTGTAGACCAGTCAGTAAGTATAGATACAACTATCAAAGATCTGTGTGTAGACCAGTCAGTAAGTATAGATAGGACTGTCAAAGATCTGTGTGTAGACCAGTCAGTAAGTATAGATAGGACTGTCAAAGATCTGTGTGTAGACCAGTCAGTAAGTATAGATACAACTATCAAAGATCTGTGTGTAGACCAGTCAGTAAGTATAGATACAACTATCAAAGATTTGTGTGTAGACCAGTCAGTAAGTATAGATACAACTATCAAAGATCTGTGTGTAGACCAGTCAGTAAGTATAGATACAACTATCAAAGATTTGTGTGTAGACCAGTCAGTAAGTATAGATACAACTATCAAAGATCTGTGTGTAGACCAGTCAGTAAGTATAGATACAACTATCAAAGATCTGTGTGTAGACCAGTCAGTAAGTATAGATAGGACTGTCAAAGATCTGTGTGTAGACCAGTCAGTAAGTATAGATAGGACTGTCAAAGATCTGTGTGTAGACCAGTCAGTAAGTATAGATACAACTATCAAAGATCTGTGTGTAGACCAGTCAGTAAGTATAGATACAACTGTCAAAGATTTGTGTGTAGACCAGTCAGTAAGTATAGATACAACTATCAAAGATCTGTGTGTAGACCAGTCAGTAAGTATAGATACAACTATCAAAGATCTGTGTGTAGACCAGTCAGTAAGTATAGATAGGACTGTCAAAGATCTGTGTGTAGACCAGTCAGTAAGTATAGATAGGACTGTCAAAGATCTGTGTGTAGACCAGTCAGTAAGTATAGATACAACTATCAAAGATCTGTGTGTAGACCAGTCAGTAAGTATAGATACAACTATCAAAGATTTGTGTGTAGACCAGTCAGTAAGTATAGATACAACTATCAAAGATCTGTGTGTAGACCAGTCAGTAAGTATAGATACAACTATCAAAGATTTGTGTGTAGACCAGTCAGTAAGTATAGATACAACTATCAAAGATCTGTGTGTAGACCAGTCAGTAAGTATAGATACAACTATCAAAGATCTGTGTGTAGACCAGTCAGTAAGTATAGATAGGACTGTCAAAGATCTGTGTGTAGACCAGTCAGTAAGTATAGATAGGACTGTCAAAGATCTGTGTGTAGACCAGTCAGTAAGTATAGATACAACTATCAAAGATCTGTGTGTAGACCAGTCAGTAAGTATAGATACAACTGTCAAAGATTTGTGTGTAGACCAGTCAGTAAGTATAGATACAACTATCAAAGATCTGTGTGTAGACCAGTCAGTAAGTATAGATACAACTATCAAAGATCTGTGTGTAGACCAGTCAGTAAGTATAGATACAACTATCAAAGATCTGTGTGTAGACCAGTCAGTAAGTATAGATAGGACTATCAAATATTTGTGTGTAGACCAGTCAGTAAGTATAGATACAACTATCAAAGATTTGTGTGTAGACCAGTCAGTAAGTATAGATACAACTATCAAAGATCTGTGTGTAGACCAGTCAGTAAGTATAGATACAACTATCAAAGATTTGTGTGTAGACCAGTCAGTAAGTATAGATACAACTATCAAAGATCTGTGTGTAGACCAGTCAGTAAGTATAGATACAACTATCAAAGATTTGTGTGTAGACCAGTCAGTAAGTATAGATACAACTATCAAAGATTTGTATGTAGACCAGTCAGTAAGTATAGATACAACTATCAAAGATCTGTGTGTAGACCAGTCAGTAAGTATAGATACAACTATCAAAGATTTGTGTGTAGACCAGTCAGTAAGTATAGATACAACTATCAAAGATTTGTGTGTAGACCAGTCAGTAAGTATAGATACAACTATCAAAGATCTGTGTGTAGACCAGTCAGTAAGTATAGATACAACTATCAAAGATCTGTGTAGACCAGTCAGTAAGTATAGATACAACTATCAAAGATCTGTGTGTAGACCAGTCAGTAAGTATAGATACAACTATCAAAGATCTGTGTGTAGACCAGTCAGTAAGTATAGATAGGACTGTCAAAGATTTGTGTGTAGACCAGTCAGTAAGTATAGATAGGACTATCAAAGATCTGTGTGTAGACCAGTCAGTAAGTATAGATACAACTATCAAAGATTTGTGTGTAGACCAGTCAGTAAGTATAGATACAACTATCAAAGATTTGTGTGTAGACCAGTCAGTAAGTATAGATACAACTATCAAAGATCTGTGTGTAGACCAGTCAGTAAGTATAGATACAACTATCAAAGATCTGTGTGTAGACCAGTCAGTAAGTATAGATAGGACTATCAAATATTTGTGTGTAGACCAGTCAGTAAGTATAGATAGGACTATCAAAGATTTGTGTGTAGACCAGTCAGTAAGTATAGATACAACTATCAAAGATCTGTGTAGATTTATGAAATGTTCATTTGATGGAAATGAAGGATTACTGAAGGAAAATTCATAAACAAGGGAATTTTTCATATTTGATCATTGCAGACATAACCACACGTGAGCTTTTGTAATTTTTTGTAGAAAGTCTGCTAAACTTTATGAAATATTTTGAAGTTTTCATGAAGAATAAATCTTTTTAGGAGGGCACAATATCTATCTGGCCTCAGGATCTAAAGCAGTCAAGGTCATTTAAGACCGGAACAGACACTTGTAAAGGTCGTGACCTTTGGATAACACATTTCTGTGCTTTACAGAATATCAACAAATTGGCTCTGGCCTTTACGAGTAAAGAGATTTGTAAGTACATCTGTCACTGATTGGATACTGATAACCGTTTTAACATTTGATTTCTGGTGAGAAGTTTATCTGTGTATGAGTCACAGTTCAATTTGTTTAGTTGTAGCTAAAGTTTATCTGTGTATGA